ATTTTCTAAAAAAATACTTATTATTAGAATATAAATTTTTACCAATAAAAATAATTAACAAAAGTTGTATTGAATAACTAATGTTATGAACTTAAATAATATGTAAATAACTACGAAAAATTTAAAAAATTTTATTGTTTGTAATAATAAGTGATTTTCCGGTATCGAATTTATGTATCACATTTTCATAAAAATTGTGCTATATACAGTTTAAGGGATAGTAAGGAAAGAACAGTAATGTTGATGGTATTTATAAGGAGAATTAATGATTTTTTGCTAACCATGTTTGTTAATAGTATAAATGTTAAAAAAAACAAGATTTTAGATAAAACAGTTTTGTTGTACAACAAAATTGATAACAAAAGTAGCAATAGTAATATTAAGCATAGTGGACATTTGACTCGTAATCACGTGCCGTTATCATTCAATACCGTTAGCAAAGAAATTCTTCACAAGTTTATTTTGTTGGTTCTAGGCGTTAGAATTAGGGTTGGTTTCCAAAACTGTGGTTTCGCAACTGTGCAAAAGTCACTGGTTTCACCACAACTTAAAACTAATTTTGATTTTTGACTTTTGATTTAGTTTTGACATATAATTTTTAATTTTAGTTTGACTTTTGCCTCTGCGGACAATATTTTGATAATATCTTTTTGTTTATTTTGCATTAATTATTTTTCTTGGATACTTTGTATTTATCAAAAATTCCTTTAACAAGAACCATAGAAACAATTCAAGAGTGACATGATTAAAAGTAAACGAGAAATATAACTTCCTGGCGCTGAAAGACATGAGAAATTAAAGAAAGCAAAAGAAATTCAAAGCTAGTTTTTATAAAGAACATTACATCTTAAAAACTTATATTTACAAGGTAACTAACTATAGCAAGTAGCCAATTTTTTATCTACTAATATTACAAATTAATAAAAACAACTTACTAAACAAATTGATAGATAATATACAATCATAATAAAAACTAATGATTACATTGAATATTTTTTTTCCTTATCAAAGCTCCGATTCAAATGCTCCAAATTCATACACAAGCAATTCATATTCAGCAATCAATTTTTGTTTATTTTCAACGAATTCAATGTGGTGGTGATTGTGGAGATTTTTCTCCTTTTCCAATTTTTCATGCAAAGATTTAAATAGATTAAGTGTTTTATCGAAGTTTTTGTTTTTATTGCCTAGATCATGACTTGGAGCAGTCAATACAGCCGAACCTACCTCACTTAAACCCATCAATGCTAAACTTGTTATAATCTGAAAAAATTATAGTAATAATTATTAATATTAATAGATATTATATATGTTAATATGGACATTACCTGGCTTTTTGTAATATATCCTTCGAGGAATTGACATGCAAATAATCCCAATCCAACACCACCAAGAATTCTAAATTTTAAATAATAATTAACATACAGTATAATCGCATGACCGTTAAAGTTGTATATATACACTTACGATGATCCTACACCAATTACGGCCTCATAATTTTTCTTTTTCTCGCATAATCCATCAATTATTTTTCTACAATGAATAGCTGTCACTTTAACTTCTATGACGAAATCTTCTACTTTTTCATTAAGATCTTTAAAATTTTCCAAATAATCTATATAGTAAATAGTAAATGGACAATCAATTAATTTGTAATATAATAAATTGATTTGTTAATAATAAAATATATGTCTTTTACCTTCGTATTTAGCATCATCATCATTTAGTGATTTTAACATTTTTTTAATATAATAATCTATCTCATATAAATGGGTTTTTAAATAGCCTTTTTTTTCTGATAGATATTTACTCAATTTGTCACATTTTTTAAATTGATCCCAAATATCATAAATGCTTTTAAATGTATGATAAAAATTGTATAATGTAATAGCTGTAAGGAAAGTAAAACTTTCTACCTAGAAAAAATAAATAAATTGTTAGCATGTATAAAAACAAAACATATAGAATAACAATATACAAAATATTTATACTTACGAAATTAGCAACTTTGCCACCCATCAAATGTTTTAATTGTTCAATAACAATTCTTATCATTTTTTCTTTAACTCTCATCAATCCTCCAGTATTACTGATTGAATTAGTACTTCTAACCAAATATATTACTGAAAAAACACGTTTATTAATTAAATTGGTTTGTCCATGGATTTCATTTATAATGTCAGCCAAGCCTATTTCTATATCTAGACCTCCAAGCACTTGTTGAAATTCGGTTTGCAAATCACTTGTTGACAAGTTTTCATTTAAAATCAACAATGACATTGCCTTTAATTTATAATATAAGCTATTTGTGTCAATTACTTCATCTAGTTCATCAATATGGCTTTCAGCTAATAATTTATTTTGAGTTATTTTGAAGTATGATCCTAATTCATTTATTGTCATAATGTCTAAAGGTAACCAATCTTTTAATCCATTTTGGGTGATGCATAACAACAACTCATGGGATTCAGCTTCTATTAAATAATTGACCAAATTCTTATATGATTGATATTTCCTAAAAAAAGCAAATGTGACCTGGTAGGATATGGGGTAAGTGCGTGTAGATGGATCTATTAAATTTTTATATTTGACAAAAATAAATGTGCAAATGAAATCATGTGGATGGCAGTAGTTTGCAAGAAATTTCAAGCAGGGATAGAACACTGTAAAATTGTGTTATAGAATGTACAATACTTGCCTTTACTGAATTTTCTACATCCGGATCTTTTTCAGCATTCATCTCGAAAAAGTCATTAGCACTACTTGGGATGACGAAATTATAAATCTTATAAATTATTCTATCGACATCAAAATCTTCTTCCTAATTTTGTGTGAAAAATTTTATTTAAAAAAATACATGAATGCACAAACGAACAAGCAAGCATACTGATAACATTGATGTTTTTTGATTTACAAACCTCTTCTAATTAAATTAGAAATTCTAAAAGATGAGCATAACTCCAAATCATCATCTTTAGAATTTAAATTATTTTTTATTGAAATAATTTGTTTATTTATCAAGTATGCAATTGGTACTCCATCAAGAATTAAATCCATTTTTCCAGGAAGAACTTTTTTTAATGTTATCCCTTAAACTGTTTCTGCAGCATATATGCTGCAGATTTGTTGTAAGACACAAAGATTTTTATCATGCAGTTTTTACAC